CAACCAACTACTAGATTCAGCTCTCAGCATTGCCACCTCCAAGCTCAGCAATGGAAAGGGACCTCACAAACAATTTATGTTCTTCCTAACTTAGAAAGTATTCACCCTTGTGGGTTGTGAAAGAGGGAAGAAATGGGCGCTCACAAATTTTGCCCACTCTTTGTAATCTACCATTCTGCATGGGTGAGCCAGGGAGTATAACTGCCTTAGGTTCATTACAACATCAATCTGAGCTTTAGAAAAAAAAGCGTGGCAAATATTGACAAATCGAACTGATTCATTCAATTTGCAGAGCACCCACCATGTGCCAGACACCATACAAAGGGTATGACAATTAAAAACAAAGTATCTTGAAAGTAATAATAATAGTGAGTGTAAACTGTCATTTCACAAAATTAAAACAAAAACAAAAATCAAAGCATCTCTGCCATGAAAACACATAGGAACTATACCTAATGTAGAACAGAGATGAGTGGGGGTTCAGAGATGGGTTCACAATAGATAATATCTGAGTTAATTCTTGAAAACTTAAAATAGGGACAAAGCAGAAAACTGTCTCATCTCCACTATGGCTGATCTTTGGACAGACCCACCATCTTGAGATGCAACCAGACTGTGGTCTGTCAGATGGGGTCTTTACCTGTCAGAGAAATGTTTGCCTTGCTGTGTATGCCTTGTAAGATCTTCTCTTCTCAGCTGAATTAATAACATAAACAAGGACAGGACAACAAGGATGATCCTGCTGCAAAAGACTCACATGCATGTGGCCAGGCAGAGGGCCAATGCTAATCACGGCCTCCAGCACCTGCATACCCTCAGCTGGGGGGCTCAGCGCTCAAAGAGAAATCCCCATACGGCCTGTCAGCACCTTGCTGTCTGCCTTGGGACAAGGCTATCTAGGAACTTGCCTGAATGTTTCCCACATGCTGCAAGGCCGACTTCTCGACATCGACATACTTTTCTGATACTGTAGTCCTAACTGTGGCACAAAAGAATCCTTCAGAACCTGGGCTAGGAGGTGGGCTGAAATGCACACACCTCCTCAACTTGAAAGGAGCCACCTGTGTGACGCTCAGAGCCACATGGGGAGAGGAGGGTCTCCTGTCGAACAGAGGCTACCTTTAAGGCTGTCTTCATGAACAGGCTACTTCATGGTCCCAAAGGGCCCCATGCTCAGAAGGGCCCCTATGCTTGGTTCAATGCTCTGCTCTCACCTTCATGAAATTATTAACATTTTTTAACAAGGAAGCACTCACACATTTTCATTTTGCACTGGGAACACCAATTATATAGCCAGTCCTAGCTATTTTTCCCCCCAAAGGGGCTCAGGGAGCCCAATCAACACCCTGGAGTTCTACAGGAACACTTGAAATGGAACAGTGGGTTATAAAATAGAGAAAATAAAAGTAAAAGTTCAGTTTTACATTCTGTAAGGAAATCCAGCATTGTTTGCTTACCCAAGAGCCCACTGCTCAAGCCATTATGAAGTTTGCTACGCTGAAATACCCATTATATTGCATTGCTCTACGGACCTTACACAGCCCTTTCTTGTGTCTTTAGCCTGGAGGAGCAGCCCCAACGAGACACAATTCAGTAGAACCACATAAAAATGTATCACACAGTGGTCAAAGCCACAGCATCAAACCACTTCCTCTGTACTGACTTTCACCCCGTATCCTAAATGGTGTGATATCACTGTCATCTTGTGTTTGTCTTTTGATTTGCAATCTCAACCTACCATTCATTTCATTCTTGGTCACAATTTGAGTTCGCCTTGTGGTGATGCTATCAGTCTTTCTTGGAAATTTTTTTTTTGTATCACCAGAGCCTTGATTATCATCAGAATTGGCTACATAATTTGTGGGGCCCAGTGCAAAATGAAAATACTCCATGTTCATAACTTAGTAACAATTTCACAGCAGCATCAGCAACAGTATTACACCATGTGTAGAACCCTTGTAAGTGTGGAGCTCATGGGACTGCACAGGTTGACCATCCATGAAGCCAGCCCTGAGTCTTACTGGCCACAGTTGGGTCATGGACCCATTCCTTAACCAATTGTTATTAGGTTGTTGCGTAATCTGTCTCGTCACTGTTACTCACTGACTAGGTTAGCCTTAGACTAAGGACAGTTCCCCTGGATTCTGACATATGTTCCTCTTCCCCTGAGCTGCATGATATCCAGTATAAGGATTTGTGAGTAAAACCAGGATTCTTTTGGGTAGAGGTGAGTAAGGTGTGCTGAGTAGCTACAACAGTACTCACCTACACCATGAATCCCTGATGGCCCACGACATCACACATCCATGAAAGGAGGAGTTCTTCAAAAGCTTCCTTTGATGTGACCTTAGGCTCCTGAGAGCCTTGGAGAGTTATTCAAATAATTCCTACTAAAATATGCCTACTCTTAATTCCCAGGTCTCTATGCCCTTCAAACCTCCCTGCTGCCACCCTGCCCTACAGGTATATGCAGGAGTGAGAAGATACAATTCCTGTCTTCCAGCTGATCATCATCTAATTAAGAAGCCACAATTAAATGAACAGAAAAAGTCACAAAAACTCAAAAGAAAAATTTACAAGGAAAATACCACTAATTAACATCCACATGTCGGAGATGACAGTTTGTAAAAGTATTCAGTTAGCAAGCACTGGGTAGAATCCTCAATAGGAGTTGAGGAGGAAACTGATTTGGAATAGAGGAAGGGGTCAGTGTTGGGTGGAATGAAATTTTGGAGCAGAAGACAGAGACTCAGAATCCACAGTGGCAGAATTCTCTACAGCGGGTTTTGATAGGAGATTGAATTCTTTTCAAGAGTCAAACATGTCTGTTTGGCTAGTGCAGACTGCACAAGACACTTGAAAATGTCAGTGGTGAAAGGAAAAAATCATTTTAGGAAATATCCAATCCAAAAGGCAACAACAGAGCTTCTAAAGTTATAGGATGATTCATTACAATTTATCACACCTAGATGAAAATGAAGTCCTTGGCTTCTGTTATTCCTTTCAAGACAGTCACTCTTTCTTCATCTGACCAAAATCCTGTTCAGTCTTTAGGACCAAGCTCCAGCCCTCTCTCTGCCAAGAAGTCTTCCTTGAACCTTTCCTGAACCTTCCTCACTCTGCAGTACCTCTCATCCTGGCTGAAAGGGGCTTAAGAAAGGGACTGCTCCTCCTTCATGATCTCAGTGCTCCTCGTAAGCCTGCACTGGAAGGATCTATTGCTTTGTCTTTCACTTGCTGGGCTGTAAACTCCTCGATGCCAGGAAGTCTGCCTTATTTCTTTTCATAACCTCTGTGCTTTGATAACTTGATCGAGTTATCATGTCTCAACATGTAATAAGTGCTCTGGAATGCTTATTGAAAGTGATATGATGAGACTATGCAGAGGAACAATAACCTTTGATAATCTGGATCAGTAATAGCAAAAGAATGCTCAGAATAAATGAGAATAATATGTATAAAAACTGGATATGTCTATACTACCTGATGGACAACCTGAAGGGGCATTGGATTGGATGTGGGTGAATGTGAGAAGGCTGTCACCTGAAGATTCCTCTCCTTGCTCTCTGGAATACCATATGATAGAGCCTCTGCATCCACTCTCAGTGGTAATTAGATGTACAGTGACCAGATTTGGTACTCAAGCTTCTGAAGCTTTCTCCCAGCCTTTCCTTTTGCATCTTTGTCAGTTTCTTTAGCTGAGCCTTTTCTCAGAGGCTTTGGTTCCAATTATTTGAATGTTTGTTATTCTATACTCTGAAAACCTTTTTTTCTAATTAAAAAAATTATTAATTGATTTTGGGGGCAAGAGAGGGAGAAAGAGAGAGAGAGAGAGATCGATGTGTGAGAGAAAGTGATTGGTTGCCACCCTTACATGCTCTACCTAAGGATTAACCCAGCATGTGCCTTGACCAGGGATTGAACCAGCAACTTTTCAGTTCATGGAACAACTTCCAACCAACTGAGCTACAGAGCCAGGGCTGTACTTGGAAAATCTTTGAAATTCATAGTTGAATAAGCTATAAAAGATAAGAAATGTAGTCAATAAATATTTTGGGGGTACCTGTGCTCCTCAATTTAGGCATAAGTGAAATTAAGTAAGTAGGGTGGGAAATTACTTCCAGTTTCTGTATGGCCTGATTTGTAAATAGGCACAGCACTATATGAATGGATAATATAGAATCCCAACCCACTCATACCTCCAAATTACTACTGAGCAAGCAAAGACAAGGACTCAGAGAGACAACTGGGAGGTGGCTACTCCAGTGGTGTTTAAAAAGTGTTTTCGCAGGACAATAGCAAAGCCAAGGGTTTTCCAGATACATAGGAGACTCCCTCACACTTCATTTTGCCCTTTGGTTTTCTTCTTCATGCTAACTTTCGTGTTGGGGTGTGTGTGAGAGAGCACATGCATGTGTGTGCTCATGCATGTTAGCATCTTAAAACTAAAACTCTTGAAACAAAACGGCCATGTGAAGGGAACAGCAGAGTAATAAAGTCTCTGACTTGCCCTGTTTTGTTTAGCTGGATTTTCTAATAGTGAGACTTTCTCATTAACTTCTGCTCTCCTGCCAAACTTAAAACCAGTAAATGATTTCTGAATTCCAACCTCATTAGAAAATAACTTACCTTAGTTACGACTGGACAGTAGTCGCAGTTTCTATACTAATTTGAATGTTCTGGGTGGGTGCGTAGTGGTAGTCATGGAAAAAATCCAAGTACTTGGAAAATATGAGAAAAAGCAGGATTCTAAATCTAGAGCCTTGGATTTACATTATAAGTTACTTATATCTTACGATGTAAGATAAGACTACCATATTAAGAGCAAGGCAATAACACATTTAGGTATGAATATATAATATGTGCCAATTATAATAACTCTAAATATGTTTTTCATATTTGAAAAACTCAAACATGCTGTTCATATGCTCAAATTCTCAATATAAATTTCCTTGATTATATATGATGACAAATTAAAAGAATAACTTTTCAACACATACTTTGAATTTCGACGATCTTCTGTAAAGAAATAACGGCATTCATGTTCGGGGTTTGGTGGAGAGTATCTTCTGCAAGTGGCTCCAGCTGCAAGAATAGCAGGTAATAACGTAAGCAGAATAGTATGACTTTACAGTAAGCCTGACAGAAGCAAAGCACATTGAAACAAGCTTTAAAAAAATACCCTGCTCCAAGAACTAGTTAACATTTTGCTGATTTCAGTTCTAAAAATGTAGCCAGTTTTATTTTCTCTTTTGCAGCCTTGTAATTGAATTCCAAAAGGCTTTTCTATTGGTCACCAGACTAATCTACGAAGTCCCCGAAGCAGGTGCATGTCTGTGCATTATTCATTAAAAATCAGAGTTATTTGTGTAATTTTTGTAGGTTCCTCACAAACCGAATTCCATCATGTCTGTACATGCAGGTGGGCCCTGCAAAGGAAAACCTCAGGGAAGGGGTGGTAGACAGACAGGGGGCAGTCTATTACCCACTGTTTTGTGGTGTTTTTCCATCTAAGCACCTTACACTTCGGGGCACTTCACAGTAGGAAACCATGAGACACAGCTGCTCTTATTCAAATGCTAGTGAATACTTGTAAAGTGGTAGAGTAAATGTTCAAATAAAACCAAATGTGAAATAACTACATTTTAGCTTCCCCCGGACAAATTCCTTTCTTGCAAATCTATCATGATCTTCTGGAATTACACTGGTTTTTCACAGAGAAGCTCAGCACACAGTGGTTTGCAAGATATGAAGAGGAGCTTTAAGCAGTTTGTGGGCTGTTTTGGCAGAACTAATTCTGATGATGCGTCCTTGGGAATAAATGCCCTTGCGAAGTCGAGTGGTGTGCAGTGGCAGAAACCGCACCATCAGAGTGCCTGCAAACAGAATAGGTGTCTAGCTACAGGGACCCAGAAAGCAAGGAGAGTAATAGTAACAAGGGGATGAACAAAAAGAGTTTTCTTAGAAAATGTAAAGTTAGTAGTCTCAAACACAAAGGGATGGTCAAACTATCGCATGGCACGAATGGGAAGCAATGTCACTTAGATGTTGTACTGAAGCAGGAACTCGCTGTCTTTTGCTCTGGAGAAAAAAAATGAGAACACTCAAGGATTCCAACTTTCCAAAGCATCTGTGAGTGAATCTTCCCCCCGGGGTCTTTCTGAATTGATTATTCTATACTTCAATCACGGCATCTAAGACAATAGCACCTTTCTTCCAGATGCCATAGGATAACAGACTAGCTCAGGGATATTTATACAGGGGTAAATTCTCTAAATATAACTTTCCAGAGTGTTTTTCTTAGTTGACAAAGAAAAACCTTTACAACATCAAAAGGTTTATTTGCAATACAGTTTGAGGAGAGGAAAGGAAAACAGCACAGTGTTCAGGGAAAGGTTCTGCGATCTTAAAACCTTAAAACTTGTTAAAATCACTTTTAAAAAATCTGGTATTCAGACAGTGTCTTCAAGAATATGTTAATCTCCTAACAACCTCTTAACTCAGAGAAACTACTGAATCACGATGGAAGGTTGCTTGGAAAACAACGTCTCAACTCCGTCAAGACTTAGACGGAGTTGAGCTACCTTCCACATAAATAATCTTTCCTTTCACTTCTGTCCCAGATCACAGAGAATATTTTTAACAGAAATCAGGTGGGTTTTATTCATAAAATATTTTGAAACATCACTCGCTGTTCAAGTATTGAAGAAGAAAGCCACAAGGTGCTATCAGCAGACTTAGTAGTCCTTCACAAAACTTTCCTGTGACCTTAGGGTAAAAAGGCTGACAAATTCAAAGATGCCGGCTACTAGAGAATAAGTTACAAGACAGACCATTAACGTAAAAACCTCACTGCTGTAACTCTTTCACTGAAGTCTGTGGGCTATTTATAAGACTTGGGTTATGTAGACAGTAAACGTGATTCAGGGTGTTGAGAGTAAAAATACAAACAACCCTAAACCTCCAATTTGGAATCATCAGTTAGATTTGATAAAGTTGTGTCTACTTATAAAAGCAACCTAGAGAATTAAGGCAATTACATTGATAATTTGTCTCCCAAACCATTTCCCAGCATGTTTTAGGTAAATGTCATTTAGAGGATTTAACCTTCAGTAAATTGCCCCAATTTGTTTCATTTTGAGGGTATACACACAGACAGAGCTGAATTCAGAAAATTCTCAATGTAGGTTTTTTATTTGGATAGCTCTGTAGAGAAGGTGACGGGGTAATATCTTAGTTGGCAAGGTGGTGAGCAGCATTTAGAGTCAGTCTGCTTTCATAAATTAAAACCTTTACAGAGGGACCGCAGAATTCAGTTGTCTTTTCTAGAGGTTGTTGATTTAATCATTAACAATTATAAGCACTAAAGACATCTGACTGAAGCATCTATTTACATATATTTAATATACATATGAGTATTTATCATTATTAGTAATCTAATAACTAACTGTAATGAAATAATATTAAATAGTCTTTTATAAATTTGGAGCAAAAATAAGAATATTCAATACAACTGGGTTATGTATTTAGTTTGGCCAATAAAATATAGCAAAAAAACTGTTTACTGAGGCTGGTCAATGTCAGTAACAGTTTGTTGAGCAATTCCATCATGTAATAATAATTACCATGGAGTTGTAAGACACATTATATAATTTTAAGACAATCTCTTGACACATAAAGTGCTTATTCAGCTTTATTGTACCTGAAGCTTAATTTTAACCATTAGTTACAATAATTCGTTATACAAATTTGGGAGCTGTGTCAGGGAAATTTATTTTTCTACATCTTTTACAGAAAGTTGCAATAACTTATTGATGAATCTCAGATGTTTGTCAAGTTGCACATACCATGTAATTTCTAAGTATTACAGCTATTTAAAAACACCATAAAATGTGGTCATTACTATGTTGTGAATAAGTGATTTTCAGATTATTTAGAATCACATTATTTAAATCATCAAAATCATTTTAGCTGGCTATGACGCATTTAGGGGGTATCCTGGGAGAAAGCTCTTGAGTAAGAGTTTTAAAGCTCGCTGTACTTCCAAGACATTAAAATCAACTCTATTATTTTCATGACTCAGAACAGAACCAAAAAGAAGCTAAACAGAGATTTTGTAAATATAATAGGTATGTGATAACAGAAGTATACATCGACCATGCAAAAGATCTACTAACTACTCTTGTTAGCTTTTATATTATGTTTCCCAAATATGCCAAGTATTTTCACACTTCTATACCTTCATTTATTCTGTTCCTTCTGATTTCTATTTTTCCATCCTTCTTTGAATTGGGATACCTTACTACATCATTCAAGGACTAGCACAAATATTGCCTGCTCTGTAAAATGTTTCCTAAAATTCTTTGTTGAGCAAATTGCTTCCACCTGCATCTCAAATACTCTTGTTTACTCTACTAAACACATTATATAGTAGTCAGCCATGTCTGCCAATCTCTACTTTCCTGTGAGCCATTCAAAGGCAACGATAGAGCCTGATATACAACAGGCATTTTTAAAAATATATATTTTATTGATTATGCCATTACAGTTGTCCTATTTCCCCTTTCATTCCCCTCCACCCTGCACACCCCCCCCACTATTCCCCCCTTTTGTATATGTCCATGTGTCACAAGTTCTTTAGATTTTATATTTCCCATACTATTCTTGCCCTCCCCTCTATCTATTTTCTACCTACCATCTATGCTACTTATTTTCTGTACCTTCTCCCCCCTTCTCCTTCTCCCACTCCCCTGTTGTTAACCCTCCATGTGATCTCCATTTCTATGGTTCTGCTCCTGATCTAGCTGTCCTCTTAGTTTGCTTTTGTTTTAGGTGTGGTTCTTAATAACTGAGTTTGCTGTCCTTTCACTGTTCATATTTTTATCTTCTTTTTCTTAGATAAGACCCTGTAACATTTCATATAATAAGGCCTTGGTGATGATGAACTTCTTGAATTTGACCTTGTCTGAGAAGCACTTTATCTGCCTTTCCATTCTAAACTAAAGCTTTGCTGGATAGAGCAATCTTGGATGTAGGTGTTTGGATTTCATGACTCGGAATACTTCTTTCCAGCCCCTTCTTGCCTGGAAGGTCTCTTTTGAGAAATCAGCTGACAGTCTGATGGGAACTCCTTTGTAGGTGACTGTCCCCTTAGCTCTTGCTGCTTCTAGGATTCTCTCCTTCATTTTAATCTTGGCTAATGTAATGATGATGTACCTTGGTGTGTCCCTTCTTGGGTCTAACTTCTTTGGGAATCTCTGAGCTTCCTGGATTTCCTGGAAGTCTATTTCCTTTGCCAGATTGGGGAAGTTCTGCTTTATTGTTTGTTCAAATAAGTTTTCCACTTGCTCTTCCTCTTCCCCTTCTGGTACCTTTATAATTCGGCTGTTGGAATGTTTAAGGATGTCTGGAGGTTTGTAAGCCTCTCCTCATGTTTTTGAATTCTTATTTCTTCATTCTTTTCTGTTTGGTCATTTTTTTTCTTCCTTCTGGTCTACTCCCTTGATTTGAGTCCCAGCTTCCTTTCCATCACTATTGGTTTCCTGTGCATTTACCTTCATTTCAATTAGTTTAGCCTTCATTTGTTCCTCTAATTTGTGACTAAAATCAACCAGTTCTGTGAGCATCCTGATCACCAATGTTTTGAACTGTGCATCTTAAAGGTTGGCTATCCCTTGGCTGCTTAGAATTATTGGCTCTGGGGCTTGGAGGTGTTCTTGAGCCATAATGTTTTGATCTGTTCATGCCTGTTATGTATGAGGAAAGGCGCCTTAGGTGTTCACCAGGGTGGGGCCACCCAGGTCACTGGGTTGTGATGCTGTATGTGGGGGCGGGGTCAGAGAGGGGCAATGACATTTGTTTTGCTCGCTCTTGGATTTTGGTCCCCTCTGCTGCTTCCCGCAAATAAACTGGGCCCCCCTGGTGCCAGCTCCCAGGTGTGTGGGCCTGTGTACCCTCCAGAACCCTGTGGGTCTCTCCAACAAACTCTCTGTGAGCCTGGAAGCCTCTCCCAGCCCCTCGACCCTGAAAGTCTTTCCAATGGGTGCTTTCAGGCTCTAATTACCATCGCTGTGCCCTAGCCTGAG